AATTAATACAGCGTCCTCATCTACAGGATCCTCTATGAATGGACACGCCATTTTGGTCTCTGCGTGACGGAAACATGTGCAATCTATGAATGTACTGAAAGATTAAATGAGGTATTAAACACCTTTCACTTTAAAAAGGGGCGGAGACCGGAGGAAACTCTGAGTTTCCCGAACAAAACCTGCTCCCAACCAGGTTAGGTTCACAGAGTAAGTTGCCATAGTAACTGACTCTGAGTTTAGATTACCTCTCTTTTTGAAACAGGTTTAACTTACCCCGCTTTCACGGGTTTAAGTTACCTCCGTTTCTGGAACCGAAAACTCCAAGTTTTCCTCATTTCGGGGTTAACAAACTCTGAGTTTCAACAAAACCTCCTTCTTGAAACGGGCCCCTGGTACCTTACATCATGGCTCATGACAAAAGTACTCGTCTGTGATGTGAAGATTTAGCACCAGTTTGTCAGATTATCAAATGTTTGACAAACAAGGAATGCATAATTTGCTGGTCCCCTGTGAATCAGAGAGTGAATATATATGATGGTTGAAATGTATTTGGAGTGTGCGTATATATCCTGTGTTTTTTGTTTGTTTGTTTTGTTGTGTGCAGGCCTTCAACCCTGATAATGAGTACCATTTTAAGAATCGAATGAAAGTGTGCCAGAGGAACTGGGCTGAAGTTTTCGGAGAGGAGGCCAACATGTTTGCTTTTTCTCCTAGCAACACCTATCAAAAAGTAAATGACTCCTCATTTGTTTGGACTGATCCTTTACTTTTACTGCTGTGGTGAATATGTGCCAGTTTATCCAGACGTACTTACAAGTATGTAAAGCTGTGCTAATATTTATATGCACACTTCCTTATTACTCTTTGTGCACAGTTCATGGTCATGATTGGAGTGAGACAAATGAGTCCTTCATTCCTGGTAAATAATACCAGTGGCACAACTGGTACACATCACTGGCATGTACCAGCTGTCATAAAGCTTATGTAAAGTTGTGTCTGTATGTCTCACAATAATTTACAGCATCACTGCTGAATAAACCAACTGAAAACATAATTGTCTCTTTCAGGAGCCCCATGGTTGGTTGGTTGATTTGGTGAATCAAGTGAGTAATGACCAGTCACCCAGACATCATCCTCATATGCATTTGCCACAGTTGTATTAGTCATATATTTAATATGTCTCTGTTCCACTTGTTTTCATCAAGTTTGGAGAGCTGGGTGGATTCTCTGCCATCCAGAATAAGCTGAACGCAGAGGAAATCGAGATTGCTGTAAGACTAACCTTCCTTACTTTGATCTTTTTGCTTTCTTTACAAATGGCATGTACCAGCTGTCAGAAAACTTGTAAAATGGCCTGCCATATATTGTGATCAAATAGTTCTTCCCCATGGTGATGGATTAAAAGGACTGTAGACGGACTTTGAGGGAGCCTATACAGGCAAAAGGTCACCACGCTTACCCTCACTGCTCTCAGCTGCAGGGTGCCAAATGTGTCTCTCTTTAGCCCTCTCAGTAATACTCCTTTACACACACTCTCTCATCCTCCCGCGCTGCATGATGGTTGAAATGCTCTGTTGTGTCATGTGTTCTGAGGCATCCTTGTATTGATGCTTCCTTCTGGGAACCTGGCCGGAACCACCATGGTGCAAAGCCACACGTGCACCCCCACCCCCACCCACCAACACACACACACACACACTCCCTCTAACCATTAGCATATTAATAAGGCAGGTTGCTAACCACTGTTGCAGTCTTTATTGGCAGTGGGAGCTCAGTAGAGTCCATAAGCTGTCAGATACATAATACACTGGAAGCACAAGAGAAAGAGAAAAGATAATGGAAGGAGTGCTCCCTCTTCTACTGACTCCCAGGGGTGGCTCACTCATTTATCTGTTTTAAGTAGGAAGTCAAGTGCATGGGAGGTGAATACCGAGGTGGAAGGGGGAGACCACAAGCAGAGACGGAAGATAGACAGGAACATAATATCCATTCATTAAGCTCCTGTGATTTTTGCACTGAATGACAAATGACAGCTGGGCTCCAGTACTGGAAACTCACCCACACATCTGTTAATGCTCACTCCCTCTCATGCAATAGTGAAAACACAGTATCAAGTTAAACACAGTTGACCTCTGGCCTGAACACTTTAATTTTGGAGGAGCAGTAGTGGGCCGCTGCTGTTTATGTCTTCTTTAATAAGCCATAAAAAGGGCCTCCTTTAAGTATATCCCATTCATTTAGCTGTGCCAGAGACTCCTACACAAACAGAAAGATGGAATGAGCTTATTCTTATGATAATCAGTCACACCACAGCTGGTATTGATAAGCTGATTTCCTTTTTGGTTGGTGTCATGCCTGAGTTATTCTGTTTCTTTTTGCCTGTACAGTCTGTATCAGCTCTGGTCCAGCCTCTTGGTGTATGTGCAGAATACCTAAACTCCAGCCTCGTCCAGGTGAGAAATCTCATCTGCTAATATGTACAAACACACACACACACTTAATGATAGCTGTTTGACCTTTGGGTGGTTATTTGTGTCTTTTGTTGGTTTAAATTAGTCCAGCTGCTACCTATTTATCCTAACAAACATCTTGTCATTTTGTCTTCTAAAACCTTGTTCAGTGTTGAAACGTTCAGTTGTGTTGGTTGATGTGACCTTGGTGCTCCATTCTGCTTTATGGTGTGGTTATTTGCTGTATCCTCTTACTGTTTTGCTGCTACAGTGGCCCATTTTTCCCACATTGTTTTTCTTAGCCCATGCTTGATCCAGTCATCCACAAGATGATCACATATGTACAGAACCTGGAGGAAAAGGACCTCAAAGACAAGGTAGTGTTTTGTATTTGTCACCTTCTTATAATTTTTGTACTTTTTGCACAAATTTATAGTGAAAAGGTTCAGGTAAAAATACCAGCCAAATTCCTGGGACTGGTACGTCAAGCTCGAGCAAACGTTCTATCAAAAATGATAGCAGTGTTAGGGGTGGGAAGCCAGTGAGGGATCTTGTCCTTGTTGCAGTACTGTTGACTCCTGCTGGTTGGTTAGGGCACTTGCTCAGCTAGATCTTGGGGATAGTGTGAATCTTCTTTTACGAAACACAATATGTCAGGGCAGTCTAGTTACACATGGCATTTAAACAAAGTCCTTCAGATTTGATTGGATTCCTCAAAGGCTTGGTGAATACAGCAAGATACAGTCAGGTGACAAATGAAAGTTAACACCTAAATAAATTAGTGCTCTCTTCCAGCATGTCCATAGGGCACGAGGGGTCACTGAATGGTTTGAGTATGAAATTGATGTGAATCACATGCTGTGGGGTGAAGGTGAAATGGACAAATAAGAACACAAGCAGCTATTTTGGGAATGTAAACAACATTTCTGTGAACTGACATTCATGCATGCCTTTATGGTAACATACATTTTTGTATACACTCGAGCTGAAGATGAGACATCAAATATTTAAACATTTTTGCAGAATTAAAAAAGAATGGGAATTTGCTGTAGAAATACAAAAAAATGAAATGTTTGGCATAAAACAGAAAATACATGAATATATTTTATTTGACTGTATCTTTAAGAACTTATGTATTTTGAGTAAAGCTCAACTTAAATGTTATAACTAGGTCGTTCTTCATGTCTTCTAACCCTAGCGTCTGGTGAGCATCCCAGACCTGCTGTCAGCCATCAAGCTTCTCTGTATGAGGTTCCAGAGGGAGCTAGTTACTGTGGTGGATGACCTCCGGCTGGACACTCTGCTGCGTATGCTCAAAACCCCCCACTTCTCCACCAAGATGAATTCCCTCAAAGAGGTCAGCTCTTATGGCTTCTGACCTGTTAAGCCATGCCTTTTCAGGGTGTTTCAGTCGGTTTTTGTTCTCCTTTCACACTGTTTGTCCCTCAGGTGACCAAATTAATAGAGGAGAGCACGGTGTCAAAGACGGTTAAAAATGCCATTGACACAGATAAACTGCTAGACTGGCTCGTAGAGAACTCAGTTCTGTCAATAGCACTGGAGGGTAAGAATGTATATGAAGACAGCACAAACATGAGTTTTACAAATGGCTTTGCAAAAATCCAAGGCAGACAAGAAAAAAAAAAGACTTTTCTTTGTTCCAGGTAACATTGATCAGGCTCAGTACTGTGAAAGAATTAAGGGAATCATTGAGCTGCTTGGGAGTAAATTGTCACTGGATGAACTTTCAAAGATCTGGAGAATACAGGTCAGCACAAAAATGAAAAGTGAAGCCGAACGTATTCACATTATTGCATATTTGTGAGGTAGTAACAAACGGATGGATGTATTGATTCATGTGTGTGCATTTCAGGCTGGCCAGTCCTCAACTGTGATAGAAAACATTCATACAATCATTGCTGCTGCTGCTGTGAAGTTCAGCTTTGATCAACTCACCCACCTCTTTGTGCTCATAGAGAAGGTTGGTGCTACATTACATCTGGGCCTGGGATATTGAGGAATAAATCAATGAAATATGGCACCTAAGTGGGTATAACAATGTGTTTGGATGTTATTTAGAGCTGGGAGGTTGAGAGTGACCGTGTGAGGCAGAAGCTGCTCAGTCTGATCGGGAGAATCGGCAGAGAAGCTCGCTCTGAAACCACAACTGGAAAGGTATGTTGGTAAACCTGTCATTCTGTCAAGGCTAAGGAGAAGGAAAGGATTCTCAGTATATTAGGCCTTGAGATTGAAGCCTCTTGTGTTTGTGTGTGTGTGTCTGTTTAGGTGCTGGAGGTGCTGTGGGAGTTGGCTCATCTC